TGGCCCGCGGCTCCCTCTTTTCGGCGCCGCCTCCGCCTCGGTCCTCTTGTTCCTCTTTCTCCCTCCTGGCCGTTCGGCCCGTGTCTCTCGGGCTGGTTTTCTGTTTTCCTTCCTTTCTTTCTTCTCCCTCCCCCCACCCCGTCTCTTTCTCTGTGCCTCCCTGTCTCTGTCACCCCGCACTCCCCTCCCCGTGTGTGTTGTCTCTTTCTCAGTCTCTGGTTCTCCTTCCCATTTCTCCCGTCTCATTCTCCGTCCCGTTTTTCTGTCCCTGGCTCGCTCTCCCTCTCCGTAGCTGCCTCGGCCCCCTCCCCGTCGAACCCTGTGTCTCTTCCAACCCTCGGACCCCCGTCTCCTCTATTTGTCTGCCCTTCACTCCCTCTCTGCCTTCCTCGTCCACAGCCCGCCCTCTCCCCATCGCACACTCAGTCTCTCATTTTACTCCTTTTGCAGGCACTGTCCAGGACTTAGGCCCCCAGCCCCGGGCACCACCCCCTCAGTCTCCATGATCTGTCCCCCGAAACCTCAGCCTCATTACAAGGAATTTTATAAGCGGTGGGACAGAGGAACAGAGCTTAAGCATCAGACATATAAATCAGGAAAATGGAGAGAGCTATTTAGGCATGTGCCAGGCTGTGAGGAGGGTTAGACCGGCCACACCTAGAGTGAGGCCTTAGTCCTGAGGGGATGAGTGGCCCCCAGAGGCCTCCTGTGGAGACCCAAACCCGTGGGCTCCTGCTGTCCTGCCCCCTAACCGCATCTTACCCGGAGACATTTCCCCTTCTAGGGGACTCTGGAAGGACCTAAAATCCTCTCAGATTTAATGAAAAATCAGTAACGCGAGCTGGCACTGGATTACTTCTTTCACCTGAAAGGAGCAGATAGGCACTGGGGGTGGGAGGAAGGCAATGGTTATTCCAAAGTCTCATATACGGAGCCTCCATAGCATCTGGCCATGGTGGGTGCTCAAACAGGATTCATTCCGTGCCAAGCGCTTTACGTGAATTGACTCACTTCCTTCTCACAGCTGCCCTCTGAGGCTGGTACTGTTATGATTCCACCTTATAGATATAAAACCTGAGGCCCCAGAGGTGAAGGGCCCCAGAAGAGGCATAACTCACAAGGAGCAGAACTACAGTGTTTGAAAGCCAAAATCTGTCATCTTTGAAATCACCCCAACCCAGCCCCAGGCCAACTCTAGTCTGTCAGAATGCAGGAGGGAAGGAGGGTACCCTTAGACCCCTGGCTGACACACGGTTTCCTGTGGCCTTTGCTCCGAGGGTGGCCTGGCCTCACCTCACTTGTTCCTACTTGGCCAGGAAGGAAGAGCAGAGGATTTCTATGTGCCCCATGGTAAAAGCCAGGTCTACAGCAGTCTCTCACTTCCCTTGCCCAGCACCCGCACCTTCCTGCCGTCATCATTTGCCCATCAGCATTGGCCCATCATGCCTGCCTTTTCCACCCAGCCTCTAACCACCCCCTCCCCCACTTCCACCATCCCCAGGTCTGGTCACTGCTTTGATGGCCAGAAGTGTTCAGGTGCAGGAAATTGGAGGCTCTGCTTCTGGCACCCCATCCCCCTGGGCTCAAGGCCATTCAGGGGACAGCCCAGTAGGAATGGTGTCCCTACCTTCATCCCCTGGTAGGGAGGGCTCATGTTGTATCTCCTGTGTGAGCAGACTGGGGAGCCCAGCACAGACACAGGAGGCTGCCTATCCCAATGTACCTTACCCCGCCCCACATCTGAGCCCTCCCTCATTAGTCCGTCTGTTTCCCTTCAGTCTTATCTTTCTCTAGCGTTCCCTGCCCCATCTCTGTTTCTGTCTTCTTGTTCCTCCCAGTTTCTCTCCCTCTTTGTCTCTCTCCCAGTCTCTTCTCACCCCCCTCTCCTTCCACTGTGTGTCTCTTTGTGTATCAGTCTATCTATCTCTGTTTGTCTCTCTGTTTTCCTCCCTGTCCCCCACCCCTCTCTCCCTCTCATACCCCTCCTAGTTCCTTCCTGTCTCCAACTCATCTTGCCACATCCTGCAGCTCCCCCCACTGAGCCCGGAGGATAATGCTGTGTTCTGGAAGCTGAGCCTGGTGCACAGTGGAAGATGGTTCTGAGCACTTTGGACACAAAACTACCTGCCAAGCTGAGCACTGGAACTCAGGGGCCACCCCGGGCTCAGGAAATGCAGGGCCAGTTTAAACTGCAGAGGGCTTGGCCAGAGTCCAGGTGTCCTGGCTTAAGCTGGAAGTTGGAAGTGCTGTGTGGCCCAGGGCAAGACACTTGCTTTCTCTGAGTTTCAGCTTCCTCATCTGTAAAATGAGGACAATCATAATAGCACACCAGACCCTAGGAGGTTGTGAGAGATGAAGAACATATGTATGAGAAAACAGTGCTGGGCACATCATAGGACCTGGGCAAACACCAGTTTTTCTCCCCTTGCACTGAGCAATGGCCCACGAGGGTCCCACTTCCTGTCATGAGTCCCACGGCAGCTAGCAGAGTCCAGCAGTGCTCTGCATAATCTCATGCTATCCTCACAGCCGACTGACAAAAGCTGGGATCATTGAACCGATTTCACAGATGGAGAAACTAAGGAACATTATTAGCAGAGTGAAGATTTAAACCCAGATCTGTCTCCAGATCCTTTGCTTTCTCCTCTCTGCCCATTAGCTGGGAACTTTTACAGGCCAGGATGGGTCATGGTGGCAGACACCCTATACTCTTGGCTGGGCAGAGGAGGTGCTGATAACTCTTGGCTGAATCAAGGAAAGAAGGAATGAACAAACGAACCCATATCTTCCCTGGCCTTGCTAAATGCAACGGGGTGTCCTCCCAGAAGGGATTTAAGAGGGAAAATTCAAGGGGAAATGGACAGTACCTGCGAGGTGGGGTTAGGTGGCACCAAGCATTAGCTAACTCTGAATTAACTAACTCAGATTAACCAACCCTGGATTAACTACTAGGTAACTCCGAGTTACATTGTGACTCGGGCCCTTTTCAGTTTTTGTTCAAGCCTTCTGATTATATCAAGGAAAAGATCTTCATTTGGAACTAATGTATCTTCAATGCCTCTCTAACATTTGTCATTGTCCATTTTTAATAGAAGGTCTCAAGCTCAATACTGTTGACATCAGCATTCTGGAATTTACTTATAGCTCCTTGCTTTTTAAATAATATTTGCAATTATTTTCTGTTTTTTTCAAGTGATACTGGTTTTCCAGGTACATTACTGATGTAAAGCTTGTTTAATAAATGCATTTATTGAAGTTTTAAAAATGTAAGTTAATTTGGGGGTGGTTCCATAGTATAGTGGTTAGCACGTCTGCTTTACACACAGAAAGTCCTGGGTTCACACCCCAGGTGGAGCCACAGACCGTACCCCGGGTGCCGGTGCTCCAGGCCCCGGCCCCGGGTGCATGCTGCGAACGCATGTGGCGAGGAGGCGCCCCCGCTTCAGAGATCCAGTTCTTAAAGGAAGACGGCAACATCCATAGGTCAGGTGTGAAAGTGGCGGGGGGAGGGAATTAAAGAGGGGAAGAAAATAAAATGTAAGTTAATTTAAAGACAAATATGAAGCAGGTCATAATCCAGGTGGTACAAAACACCTGAATGTTGGGAAACACTGATCTAATCTAGTGCCTTTGTAGATGGAGACACGGTGGCTCAGACTGGGCAGGTCCTTGCCTGGGCACGGAGGGGTCAGTGGCCAGGCTGGCCCAGAGAAGGCAAGCCCAGGCCTTTCACCCTGCCTGGGCGGGGGCTCCCCATCCTGCCCTGTCCATCCTCAGCTCTCACAGGCTGCCCAGAGCAGAGCTGTGAGAAGGAAATGTTTGTCTTCTACAATTGGAAAAAATAACAGTGGGGCCAGGGCTGCACTGGGAGGAGGGGGCTTCTGCCCTCCTGTCCCTTGGGCCTGGCCTCAGAGAATGCTTTCCCTGCAGGAAATGCTCCTGACATGCCGACTGCTCTGAGAACCGCCTTGGTGACAGGAACACCCCCAGCCTGAGACTCGACAGCGCCAGGAGCCATCACGGAGGCTTTCATGGGGCTTTCTCCATCTTGTTCTCTCCTGGGAGCAGCCTGAGAGGTGGGTTTTGTCAGCCCCATTTTACAGATGGGGACACTAAGGGTCGGGGAAGTGCCACCACTTGCCTACAGGGACACAATTCATCAGCCTCCAAACCTTGCTCTTGGCCACGATGTCCCTCTACCCTTTGCTTCGGAGCTGAGACCTGAGTTCCAGGCCCAGCTCTGCCCCTGTCCACCTGTGTGGCCTTGGCGGCTCCACCTCTCTTTGAGCCTCAGTTTCCTTTTCTAGAAAAGGGAAATAT